GTCTAAAAAAATCCGAAAAAACGTGTGATGTAATATTAGAATGGCCCCTGATAGCTGCAGAAAAGAACGTCAAAAGACAGTTCTTTAGACCTTAAAATTATGGAAAAAATGTCCTCAATCGAAGAAAAAAGAACACAAAACTAGAAAAACAACGAAGGGAACTATTTATATCTTGTCATATGAAGGCTTAGATTAAATTTTAGTAAAATTTTTCTTACAGAAAATTTCCTAGACGATAAAAAGTGACTTTTGACATTTTTTTCCTAAATCTATCAGCTTCAGAGATGATTGTAAAATAATTTAGACTCACCGATTCACCACTTTGCAACCAAAAATTCTCTTGATCATTCCTCTCGATGTAGCATACGCTCAGTATTTCCTTAGTGTTCCATTCATTCATTTATTTATTTACGCTTAAATTTAAGATAAGACAGTGTGCGCTTAGGATGAATGAAATCCGAGGAATATAGATGCACATTTGAGTGCAGAGGAAAAACACAATTTTTTGAATAAAACGTGTTCCAAATTGAAAAAAATACCCGACTATTCTTATTTCTTTCACCTGTTTATTCAGTATCATTCACATTTATAATTCATTTTTACCACTTTTATTACATTAAATACGACAAACGGCAGTAATTGATATATGTGTCAGTTGATTGACTCCAGGAATGAGAGGAGAGATAATTCAGTGATGAAGTAGAGAATTACTTCGGGCGCGATTGCCTTGAGAATTAAAATTCAGATCTTTCTTCGATATTTCATCACTACCGAAAATTCTTGATATTTTCTCTCAATCGACTTGTTTTCTAGATAATTATAAAAATAATAAAAATGTAATTTGTAACGTCTCACCACTTCACCAGTGAACTACAAAATACACAATCAGTAACAGCTCTATATCTTAATTCTTGTAACATTATTTAAAATATATTCTCTGCGTCGAATTATTTTGCATTAAAAATAGTATGTCATTGTTATTCGAGGGAAATTATTTGGTCAATTGCCATTCACTTCTGTATTTGTACTTGCGGCAGCAATTCATCATACTTGAAACATACGTTTGAAGGTGGTTTTCTCAACAGCTAGGTAGGATTTTATTATCTTCTTCACTCTGTCCAACTCTTGAAGGATGTCAGGATTATTTGGAGTAGAAGTGTTCGCTAATTTCAGGTCATTAAGGCCAAGATCGTACTCGTTGAGTCCCATGTATGATTGGCTTCGACGGAATAGTGCTTTACTGTTGGTTTTGTCGACTTCCAAGACCTAGGAGTATTTTGTTTAATTAAATTTGAGAAGGAGGAAGATGGCAGTGATTTTCAGTGTATTAAGGATATCCAAGTGTTCTGGCTATTTTTCTCCAGTGAAATGTTTTTATACTTTTATAGTAGAACATCAGAGCTTTCATTTGAACCCTATTTGACTCCAATTTTCCGGACATTTTGCAATGATTTTATTATTTAAACTTTGCAGGTCTGAATTTGAATGTTTATATTGAACCGTTAGAAAACATTTTAAAAATCTGAAGAAAAATTAGACTATTGGATTACGGACTCTTGGGGGAAGATTGATAAAATAATTTAAAATTGCAAATTTTGAAAATTAGGAGCATCCTTTCGAAATAATGCGTAAAAAATAAATTTTCCACCATAAAATCATTTGTTCGGAATGTTAAAAAATTTATTCGTATTCAGAATTTTACCAGAAATCGAGATCATGCCTAAAAAAATTAGGTTTCCGAAAGTTTCAACAATTTCAATTATTTATGCAAAATGTAATCTTAACGACGCTGAATATTCAAGATTTTTTTTAAAATTTTTCTCACACAATTCAATTGACAAATTTAATGATTGAAAATGGTTGAATCTCTAGTGTGTCTATAGTTCCAAACAAATTCATTAAAAAATATGCAAAAAATGGTATGCCTCAATGATTTTATCTAAAAGCATATTTCGCCATTTCTCACCACGGCCAAAACCCCTGATTAGAGGAATTTCATTCCTATGCTAACTGGAAATAAAAAATTCGGCGCTGAGCCGCGATGTGAGTGATCGTGTCATGGAAATATTTCACACGGCGTTGCCACACTTGTGGCTGTCGGAAGATCAGCGAATCAGATCCGATCAATTAGCCCCTCATGTATAGATATTCCAAATGTTTATTTTTTTCCTCATTGAAGTAGTTTTGAAGAAAATTGCGAGCTAATAAAAAACATATGCTAGTTAGCACTTTTTTTGAAATAAATTTTTGAAAAATCACCCCTAAAAAAAAAGGCCCCCTATTTCATTATTTCCAAAAAATTTTATCACCAATCGGTAGCAAATTGTTTGAAGATTTTTGCGAGTTAAGAAAAAATCGTCAATGCACTCCTATTATTGTGTAAATTAACAATTCCAATT